AGGAAAGGAAAGGAAAGGAAAGGAAAGGAAAGGAAAGGAAAGGAAAGAAAGAAAGGAAAGAGAGAGAGAGAGAAAGGGAGAGAGACAGAGAGAAAGAAAGAAAGAAAGAAAGAAAGAAAGAAAAAAGAAAGAAAAAAGAAAGAAAGAAAGAAGAGAGAGAGGAAGAGAGAGAGACAGAGAGAAAGAAAGAAAGGAAAAAGAAAGAAAGAAAGAAAGAAAGAAAAAAGAAAAGAGAGCCGGGAGGGAGGGAGACATCAAACCCACCAAAGCTGAAAGCTTTGCTGAAAGCTGTCAATCACACTTCCCAGCGGGGGGGGGGGGGGGCGGCGGGGGGCGGGGGGGGGGTTCCCCGGTTTGGGGGGCCCCCCCGCCCCCCCCCCCGTCTCCCTCCCTCCAGGTGCAGGAGCTGCAGGAGATCCTGTCCAGGGCAGAGACCGGCTTTGGTGGAGCCCCCAGACCCCCCTGGGAAGGAGCCCAGGTGTGCAGGGGAGACACCTCCGGGGCGGGGTGGGGGCTGGGGGGGGCGTTCAGCCCCAGATGAGAGGGAAGGGGGGGGGGAGAGGGGGTGCGCCGGGGGCCGGCAACGCCCCAACCCTGGGGGGGGGGGGGGGGGGGGAGATTTGCTGTCTTTTTGACAGGCCTCCTCCCTTGCAGGACCCCCAATCAGGGGCTACGCAGAACGGCCTCCATCCTCCCTGGGGGGCTACCGGTGCCCAGCCTGCCCCCCTCCTTCCACCCTCAACCCCGGCTGAGCTCCAGAGCAGCCTGGAGCAGCTCCACAGGTAGGGGTCCCTGACGCCCCCCCCTTGCTCAAGCTGTTCTTTGGGGGGCAGCTGAAATGGGGCGGGTGGCTCAGCAGGCAGAGGGTTCAAGCCCCCCCCCCCAATTCCTGTAAGACTCTCAGCCAGGGGCTGTGGGCAGGGAGACCCCGCTTGACCGATTCGTCCTGGGGAAGGGGTTGACCCCCCCGTCCTGATCTGAGGGGTGACCTAAGGAGCCGAGGGGCCCTGCGGGGGCCTTGGATGGGCCCCGGCCTGTTTGGTTGCCCCCCTCCCTCATTTCTCATTTCTTCTTGGGGGAGGGGGGGCCTTTTCTCGGGGAGGGGGCTCTTGGGGGAGTCAGGAGCCCCCCCCGCTTGCAGCTGCCTGGGCTGTACTGGGCCCCCTGCCTTGCCCCCCGGGTTACACGCCGTAGTAGCGGCCCTGCCCTGACCGGCACCCTCTGCCCCACCTAGGCGCCTGGAGGAGCTGCGGGGCCTGAACTGGCGCCTCTCGGGGGCCCTGCAGGAGTCCAAGGCGAACGCGGAGCAGCTCAGCCTGCTGCTCGGACAGCAGGAGTCCCAGGAGGCTGGCCTGGCTCTGGCCCTCCGTGGCAGGTGAGCCCCCCCACCCACTTAAGGGCCCGCGCAACCCCTGGCGGTGATGCTGGGCTCCGCTGTGGTCACTGCAAGCCGAGGACCGCCAAGCTGAACCTGCCTCCCTCCCTTTCGTAGCCTTTTCTGTCTTGGGGGGCTGTAAGAATTCAATCAATTAAGAGCAACGGGGAAGGAGGGGAACCCAGGAAAAAGGGGGGGTTTGAGGCCCTCGGGGGCCCCTCTTCCCGGCTTTAGCGGAGCTGTGAGGAGAGATTCTGATCTGGGCCACGCGGGGCGAATTGGGGGGTGGGAGGTGGGCAGCCCAGGCCAGCCTAGGGGGCACTGGGCGGGGGGAGCAACTGACAGGCCCCTTCTAGGCTGCCCAGCCTACCTCGCAGGGCTGCTAGGAGGGCAGAGCAGGACACCGGCCTCCCCTCGATCCAATTGGACTCGGTCTTTGCTGGGGGGGGCAGGATCTTCTCGGGGGAGGGAGGCTGGGACTCTGGGTCTGAGTGGCCCCTGTTCCCCCCTCCCCTCTTGACCCCCCCCCCATAGTGAGCGCTGCCTGGAGGCCTACGAGACCCTCTGGGCTCTTACGGACCAGACGCCCAGCGCAGAGATGGGAGCAGCGGCACCCTGGGCAGGTGAGACCTCCGGAAGTGGGGGGACCCTCTTTCTCCCCCCCCACCAGAGACACAGCTGGCTGGGCCCCTCCAGCCTCTTCCTCCCCTGGCCCCAAAGGGGGGGGGGCAGTTTGGGGCGGGGCACGGTGGGACCCAACGAAGGTTTGGTTGCCACGATGTAAAAAAGGCGTTGAGAGTCTGGAAGAGAAGTTGGTCCCTTTAAGACGGTGGACTTCAACTCCCAGAATTCCCCAGCCAGCATAGCTGGGAGTTGAAGTCCACGGGTCTTAAAGGGACCCTGTTTCGGACCCCCGTTCTAGAAAGAAGGCAGAGAAGAGCAACCCAGAGGATGAGGGGACTGGAGGCTGAAACATACGAAGAAGAAGGAGAAGAAGAAGGAAGAAGAAGAAGAAGGAAGAAGAAAAAGAAGAAGAAGAAGAAGAAGAAGAAGAAGAAGAAGAAGAAGAAGAA